CAGAAGGCAACCAAGTCTCATGTGCCATGTTAACTCTTAAAATAGTGGGATAGAAGTAGGGTCTCCCCGCTGTGACAGCAGAACGATCGCCCCTCCGCAACAAGCATTGTGTGAGGGACATCTAGGCAGTGACCCCTCTTCAGACAGGGCCGGTTTGCTGAAGCTCCACAGGCTCGATAGTCAAGTGAAATCCTGTAATCCATCACCTCCATTCCATGCCACCGTTTCAAAAGACATTTATTAATTTCTAACAACTCGCTGACATATTCTGCTCTTCGTGCGTCAGGACTTTGGGTCTGTACCATCACTATGACACCAAAATTAGTCTTCTGGGAGTCTTAATCCCCTCTAAAACCAACTGGAAGAGCTACAGTTTTTCAGGGCAGGGGTGGCACTAAGTAAGGTTTCTGTCATTTGAAGTTGCTGTTCTCTCGATCGAATTCACCACCGCGCAAGCCGGCTTTGCGCTGGAGGAACAGACACAGATCGTGGTGCTTTGCACTGAAGGGACACCTGCACACATGCATGTGGAGAAACTTCCAAGAACCAAAGTGGCTCTACAGGAAAGGACAGGCGAGCGACCAGATCATGGTACCGAACATACCTTTGCAAAACTGTTGCTTTTATCAGAGACCTGAAAGCCACAAATACAGCCCCGGGGCTCTCCAAGGGGCTGCGCCAGTGACGGAGGGACAGATGATCTCTCTCCCCCTCCACTTCGCTAACAAAACAGGGCGACAGAAATAACAGACGACCCTGCTGATTCTCAGTTTAAGGCATAGTCCTATCCCATCCCTCACCACTTTCAGGATCAATGCTCACTTACTCTAGGGAGTTTGTCGCCACTTGCTTGGTCTTCCAGGAGTCAGCAGAGGCTTCCTCCCCTTGGCATGATGGCTAGAGATGAGCAGCTACCAAGGAAGTGCTGGAGCCATGACCGCATGGGAACCGAGGGTAACGAGGACGGCACAGAGAAGATCAAATATCCATAGCTCTAGACGATGAAATATTTTAAAAGTGTTTGTTGATACGGCCCACCTTTGTATCTTGCACAGTGTAGATCCCGTATAAATTGTATCCCTTCCCCAAATTCCTCCTAACTTCCTGGCCCGGCACCACCTCCAAGCAATTTAGTTCCTTTCTACGAAAAAGCAGTGCAGCCCCGTGAACTTCCTGTGTTTTACACACCAAACTCATTACCCTGCATTGCTTTGATACAGTATTATCTGAATGTATACATTAAAATCCCTGACCCGGCTGGATCCCGTGTAGCTAGCGTAGTCTATCGCAGGAATACGTATCTGAGCACCATTGCCATATGCAGCGTAGGGAACCTTCCATATGGTTTCTGAAAAGTGGTTACAGCACACGTGCACCAGGCACTTCTCAAAGTAAAACAGATCTGTTCATTTTTATTTTCAAAATACCAAAGCAGTAAAATCATGTAATTGAGTAATCACTTGCCAAATTTCCTTTTTTAATCTAATCTATTTTGAGTTACATCAGAGCCAAAATGCAAATTAAACTGGTAAGGTTCCAAGATTTTTTTTTTCCCCTTTTAGAAAACACAATTTAAGGTACTCGTAAGTAAGGAAATTTTAAAAACCATTTGTTTTGTATGCTGTAAACTTTGGAAAACAAGTTTCAGCCTGAAGTAAATTTTCATAGGTAATAGGTTAAATAGAAGTCTTATGTAAATTTTGATCTCTTCTTAACAATGCCAATGTTCATTTTATAAAATTTGATTTGAAAATAATGCCATTGTTTTAAAAGAGGCTCAAAGGGTCAGAAACTAGGCCAAAAAAGTATCCACTCTAACAAGGCACACGTACAGTCTTCCAGCTCTAACTACTGTATCAAAAAAGGAGAGATTCCTGAGATTGCTCATTTGCAGCCTCCACGAACCAATTTTTGGGGGGGGTGGTTGTTGCAGCAGCATTAGAAGCCAAACTCACTCGCCAGCCTGGGCAAACTCGTCAGCACTTGACCACGAGGCGAGACGGATCTGACCGCAGCCTCACGGAGTCACACATCTCGGCAGATGAACGAACCGATAGATAAAAGCAGCCCCCCAGAGTACCCGCTGCTGGAAACCTTTGCTCTTTGGGTTGCAGTTGTTCGAATTAAGTCTCTCCCTGCCCACAGGCAGACCTTGTGAAAAGCCGTGTGACCTCGTTGGTCGCCTTCCACCGCAGCGCTGCCGTCTGTTGAAAAAAAAAAACTGGCACCCACTCAAGTCACGGCTGTTTTCACGGCGCTTGTCTTTTCTCCCCTCAAAACTCCTTCCTCAAACCGGGGGCTGCTCGTGACGCCTCCCGGCCCCTTTTGTAAAGCTGCAAAGGCACAACTGACCCTGTTAATTTTAAAATGCTTTAAAGCGGCCGAACGGTTTTCCTTTCGCTGGGAAACCCCCCCCGACACTCCTGTTGAAAGAGAGCTGTTAAGGGAAGGCACAGGCCAATCCTCGGCATGCAAAATGCAGCGGAAGACATACAGGAGAGAGAGACGGAGGAGCTACAAGGCTGACAGTTTGCAAAGACTGACTGACCTTGCCGCTGCCCTTCTAAAGGGGATCTTGCCCCTCTTCAACGTGCCTTTTCTACCCCATCCCCAGCAGTGTCACTGGTACTCATCAAATCCTGATGACCTGGTTCGGTGAGCTAAAACCACTGAGAACTAACTCGTTTTTTCTTCTGCTGCTGCTAAAGGCTGAGTCTTCTACCAGTTTAACTCCCCAACTCCACCTCACGTAAACTGCTAGGTGACAGCCAGCGTCAGTTCAAGGCAAGCAAGAGCAGCGTGCAGCCAGGGGAGCGGGGACACTCTTTTTTTAGCAGCTAAGAGCCCAAATTAGCTGCGATGTCAAACCACACCCTCAGGTCTCTGATGGCTAGGGAGACGAAAGACATGGTAGAGAGGGCAAAGGAGAGACAGGAAAAGCGTGAAATCAAAACAGACCCAAGGATAAAGAGAATACGCATACTAGATGCAAAGTAGGGGCTGGACTGTGAGTGTTGATCGTGGGAACAGATGGATAGATAGAGAGAAATGACACCCATTACGCTCAGAATCGTATGTGTGAGAGAGGGGGAGAGGAGAGGGGAGGGGAGAGACAGAGTGCGGTGGGAGAGACGGAATTTGCAAGACAGGAAAAAGATTTGCAGAAAATAATGGTTTAAGAAAAACTGGAATCGGAACCTACTGTTCACTGGAAAATCACAGTCTAGTTGTATCAGCGTGGTTAGAAAAGAACGATCCTTTGAAAAAGAGCTCAAGACTTCCTCTTTTAATGTTTGGCACTTGCAAGGATCACCTGCCCTTCGTACATTGCATAGTCACACAACAAGAGTTAAAAGGTAGAGCATAACATCAGCTTGGGCCAGCCCAATAAACATTTATTGTATTCTCTAAAAAGTATCAGCTAGAGCCATAACATTGCACAGAATAAACTAGAGCCAAATCAAATAAAATATTCTTCCCGTTCTGTGGAGGATCGAGGTGCAAACAAAAAGACTTTGATACTTCCATGGCTCTCCATTGGCACAGGAACCAGAAAGGAATATTCATTAGATCTGACTATAAATGTTTGTCTCGTGTGGGAGGTCTTAGTATAGTAATATGTATTAGAAACTTGATATTTTTCCAATCAAGCCTTTCCACTTCTATTTACATATATTTAATTGTAAATATTCATTTTCCTACCTGAAGCACTTTAAATAAATGTACAATAAACACATTCTACACAGAAGGGGAGCAAATAGCTTAGGGGACTTGTGTTCCAGCCTCCCCATCGCTGGTCGGGAGCAATGCAAGATGATCCCTCCTCACAGCTTGTGGGGGGTCTCGTAGATCAAGTTGGTGATCTCACCCTCATTTCTCCTGAACCGGGATCCTCCCCCGCAACCAATAAATCATAATTGACGCAGACCGGCATCTGTGCCAGTAGAAAAGGCGACGGCTGGCAAGGAGATGCCCTCTCACACACAGAAGTGGATTTCTTCAGAGCACAACCAACCTCAGTTTGCAGTCGTGTCAATATACGCTTACCTTTTCCGAGCACCAAAACGCGCAGGCAATAGAATTAGTCTACTCTGTAACTGCAACTTTATTTAAAACAGAACCGCGTAATGCACAGAAACTCACAAGCGAGATGCCGCCATCTGACCTCAGCCAAACAGTGCTGTTCGCCCCGGTCAGCAGCGGCAGCGCTGCCTTCAGGGGGAACACGCTTCAGGCCCTTGCAGTGGCGAGGCGGCAGGGAGCCTGGAGCTGCCGTAGCTCTCCCCGAGAATTCCCCCGGTACGCGGCAGCCTTCAGCGGGCACAAACCCACACCACTTACACACCGGGGCTACGGGCGTACCGAAGGAGGGCCTTTGTCCACTGCTGTCACCTAATGCATAGCTGTCGTAGGGTGCATCGCGAGTTCCTCAGATGTATGCAAGAGCCCCAGCTTGTGACAGAAAACATTTTTTTTTTGGTGACAGAAAGCACGTTTTAGGAAAAGAGAAAGTTTTCCAGTCAGGATGCGCAGATCGAAGACAACTGAAAGAAGGCTGGAAGCTATTCTTTCAAGATGAGGTTAATGAAACCAAATTGATAAAATGGGTAACTGTGTGAGCAAGCATGAAAAAAGCAAGGTCTTACCAGCTGGTCTCACAGAAGATGTAAGTTAGGATGAAGAGACAGGCTTTCACATACTCAAACCACTCTTTGGGCATGATCCAGAGGCAGTAAGCTTCAAGCTAGAGTACAGGTAAGTAAGAAGCTTTGTAAATTAGTCATACTTGAAGACTCCCCCCAAAGATACCCTGTACCGAATTAACTGAGATCTTGAACATTATTGCAGTCATACTGACCTACTGCTACAGCACGCATTAATGATTTAATAACATAAAATTGGTGAGCGTTGGTTATGAAAGAATGCTAATAGACCTGGGCAGAAATGCATGTCCTTTGTACCGCTTACCATGAGAAAGTGATACTTAATTGCTACAGTTACATGAATAGCAAAATTAAAATTTTATTTTCAAGTCGTCGGATTCGATGCCAAGCTAAGAGAGGATAATGTTACCTGTTGACTTATGGGGCAATCTGGAAAAGATTAAGAGACAACATCTTATGCTTCATATTTACACCCAGATTAACTATGAATTCATTTTATGAATTGTTGTAGGGTATATTTATAAGGTGAAATTAAGATACCATTTACCTTAATACCGACAGATTGAAGTCAGAGGGACTACAGGAAGTAAGAAAATACTTCTGGAGAATAAAACAAACAGAGTGCCTCTTCTGAAAGTCACATACAGTTTTTTCCGCATAGATTAAAACTTTTTATCATGACAGATCATAAACTGTAAAGTAGTTCTTGTGTCTATCAGAAAATTCTATTTTATGTGTGAATTTCATGTCTTATACATGAGGACAGATCTAACTCTTCTGCTGCATTATTGGAGACTTATCAAAAACAGGATGCTTTTTTCTTGAGAAGATGAAAAGTACAGAGATAAGCAGGGAAATAAAGACTGAAGTTTTAACCAATAATATTTTTGTGTGGTTATCAGAGGAATGTAATAATTAATCTTTTAATCATTCTGAAGATTGTGTGAAATCATAATATCTCATCTTTTCCAGCCTCAACCTGCCATTCTTGATCTGAATTACAAACAATAAGAAAGGAGATGATTTAATGAGCAACTTTGTCATGTTGCCATTTTGCCTTAGTCAAAGGTAAATGTCTAGTTTTGCCTCTAAACTAAAATGGAATAGACTTACGTTTCAACTATGCTCGCAACTGAGGCAAATGTGAATGGAAAAGTTAGGGCTATTTTAAAGCTAGAATCCTGGTGCCTTCACATTTTCATAGAGACATAATTAAACACACACTGTTAAGAAGAAACAAACATTCGTTTACTAGAAAACAAAATCCCCGTTGTGAAGAAATGCACATGCATGAAAAGAAGTCTAAGATTTGACAAATACTAAAGTAAATCCCAAAAGAAAGATTTCAGTCACAATGGCAATAGGTAAGTTCGTATTATGAAGGAAAAAAAAATGTCAGCATGATTTAATCATACTCAATAAATAGGCACTTCAATAAAGTATATATTTACACTGGCTTTCTGAATGCTAGGGCATCACAAAGTACTATGGCTTTATTACAATGGATGGAAGATGGCAACTACTTAGAACCCAGTGCCAACATGGATTATAACAAATCCAGTGAGTATTTTGTTTTTCAATTATTCATAGAAAATTTAATCCTGATTAAGTATCCTTGGGCAGGAATTCATGGGTAGTTGATGACTGAAACCAACATTTATTTGAAATGCTTCTGTTAATTTAATCTGTGTATATGGCTTAATTATGATTGAATCCTCAATGTAACAGAAATGAATTATATCAGGATTAAAATTCTAGTACCACATCACCCATTCCATTTTGCCTTTTTTTTTTTTCTTTAAAAGATGCAAGCCTGCTGTTTTAATTACCTTTATGTTGCTATGTCTTCTAAGCCTCAAATGCTGTTTAGATCTTCATTACTGGATGAAATTTTTAGTTACATTTATTTCAAAAAAAAGGCAGATATAAACCCTATTTTCATTCCCATTAAAATTTTAACCAGTATGAACATTAGTTGCAAAAAAGGCTTTTCTTTTACACCAATAATAAAGGAAAGTTTCTCGCAGTCAGTTGTGAATGTTTTAGATGTGTTTTCTAGAGGACTCTCCCTCTTTGGTTTCCCCTTCTTTTATACTTATACATAAAATGCATTTTCTCTAAAGCATGAAAATAAAATAACTTGTACTCATCGTTACGCATCACACCAATTTCACAACTGGCCTATTTCAGACTTGTTTGAGCTTGTAGATGTTTTAAGAACTACATTTTGTAAGACCTTCAAACCTAGTATTGATATAAAGTAAGGACATTTTTTGTGGCTGGGGGGGGGGGAGGAAAAAATTCATTGTACTTTTCTGTGATACAGCTCAACACCACATGCTACACATAAACAATATTTATAAAATTATTCAAATTCTGGACTTTCCACTCCACAATACTTTTAGCAGATTAATCTAGGGACCTTGTCAGACCAAAGGTCTGTGAAGTGCTCTGATATTATCACTCAGTTTTCCAGTGAAACCAATGTATCACACACCTGTGACAAAAATACCTGTATATTTAGGTCATTATTGCACATTTATTACATAATGTATTCTTCCTAAACGTCTCAGAAGTGATGTCGATTTTTATGTCCAGAGGATACTGTTAGTGGCAATGTCACTGATGACAGAGAAGATACTTCCCAATATAGGCTGTGAGATAGAAAAAGTCTGTAGAGGATAACCATGGAGATGCACTGACAGAGGATAACACCTATGGTAATAATCTAGAGACAAAAAAGAGAGAAAAGGAAAAAGTAAGTGAAAAAACCTCAACACCAAACAACCCAAAATACATTTCTATCAGCATACTGTGTCGGTGCTTGAGGTTTAACTTTAAACCTTTTAATACTGCTGCAGTTACAAAAGATTTGCACGTGAATCTCAAGTCCAGGATTCAGACTCTCACACCTGGGTGTTTTTAAATCAGTGGATAGCTCTGGGCAAGTCACATAACCCTTCTGGCGGTCTCTGTTCTGGGGAATTTCAGACTCGCAATTCACCACCCATGCAGTTTCACAAGCAGAGGTGATGTTTAGGTATTCTATTCTTACAACAAACAGAGCAGGTTAAAAAAAAAAGCCCCAAACCACTGTGCACTAGCACAATCATGGAGCTGTGAGGACAGTGGTTTATCAGTCTCACTTAGCCAGACCTCTTTTCAGTGCAAGTCTCTTCATCTGTAACAGATGTGTAAGGCAGTATTTATCAAACGCATAAAGGTAACTACTGTTTCTGAGAAAGCAAAAGTCTAAGTTTATGTACAAGAGAGTCTTTTAAAAGAGATGTTTTTTCTTAAACGAATATGGTATTTATTGATCACGCATTTCTTTATTATATTGAAGTGTATTTAAAGAATGCATTTAAAGAATTTAAAGAACACAGCTAAATTAACATAATGTAGGAACTGCAGCTGCACACAATGGTTAAACTTGCCCAAACGCAAGAGCAGAGCAACTGTAATCTCCCTTCAGTAAGCTAAAAAATCTCAAAATATTGCAAAAATTTCCTTTACTGATCCTACCTCTAGAGATTGTCCCCCTGCCCTGATGATGTTTTCATCAAGCAACAACAAAAAATCTCTTCATTAGTGGCTCTAGAGGAGTCTTTTTTCTCCCTAGAATTATTTTTTTTTTTTTTTTTTTTGAAATCAAACGTGGTATTTCATTTACCATGTATTTTTAGCGGAACTTTTTTCTTTCCCTTACATATCCTCTACACAAATAAAAGGTCTGTTTCCGAAAATGCACAGATGGTTATAAACCATGAAGAAAAGAAGTGAACTCTACCCTGGAATGAGGTAGTCAACCACCTGAGAATAGTAGTGCAATTCATCTGAACATGGCAGGCTCCACACACTAGTTCTCTACTTCCCAGTATGTTTAAGCAACCGAGAAACCCAGTGAGTCCACCTTTGTTTTTAACTGTTTAGAGCTTACAAACCAAACTACGTATTTGGGCAGATTTCTTAATCTAAAGACTACAGTTCAGCTACAGGTTCCCTGACCTATTTAGCCACATAAAACTTTTAAAGGGTGAAGACTAAAAAGCAAACAACAAAAAAAATCCACGCATTTATCTTTCTACTAGCTTTGTTAAAAGAATCCCCAAGGTGTTTTTAATTAAAAAACAAACAAGCAAACAATAAAACAAAACACCCCCTCCACATTTTCCTTTGACTTAACAATCCCCCCCGCCCTTAACCTAGGAATGATTACCCTTAAATGATTCAAACCCTGTATGCCTTTGTAAAATATGACTCACATTAGCATCAATGAGAGCTGTGTGACTAAGACTTTTCAAGTTGCTTTGGGGTCATAAGATTAACAGCCTAAGAGCATGAGTTTGCTAACAAACACTGAACATGAAGAACAACTACTATTCAAATTCCATCTCTTTTATCTTGCCTGTACATACCTTTTCTCTTTGATATTCTCTGAATATTACAGAAATGGTTGCAAGACATGGGTGGCACAAAAACCAGAGAATGCAGGCCTGAAAGAGAAGATGAGTATAAGTTATAAAATGACTACGTGCCAGTTTAGAAGAAAGAGATGACAGTTAGAGGAACTGCATTTACATTTCTGTCTATTTTATGAACCCATTGTTTAATTTTCAATCAACAGAACGAAAACCACACAATGAAAGGTGGGATTTCTGTTTAAAAAAGCTCTATACTCCTTGTCAAATTAAAATGACTACTGAGAGTATGATGACAGGGTGCAATTTAATCAAATCAGACACTTAAACATTAGCTTTCTTATGGAGGAAAAGAGTTTAGTGCTTCAGTCAACTGCATGCCACAATTATATTTACAGCAGAAGGGATTAGTTTCCCTGATGTAACCCATACTTTGGCAAAGGTGATATAGAACTCCCTTTTCAGCGTGCTTCTCTCCACTGTGATGATCTGGTAAAGACCAGCAGCCAGTGACAAAGCTAGGCAAACTCTGAGCCCAATAAGCAGTCCACTTGCTAAGCCATGGTGTGAATGGTAGCTGTGGTGATTCGTATCTTCAAACTGCTCCCAAATTAATAAAAAGCTCTGGAAAGGAACAACGACAGCAAAGTACATTTAGAATAAACAAGGTTACGCTAAACCTCAATCTTCCCATCACAGATTAAATTATCCGCACAACTGGCCATGCTCCACTCCGCTTGTTGGAAACCACCATGTTACACAAAAAAAGCCTAGCCTGAACTGCTTTTTGGCACTACCTATTACTCCAAGTGGAACTGGCAGAAACAGAGTCTCACTTCTTGCATTCCGTAACTTTTAGAAAGTTTGACAAGTTGAAAGTTTCCTCTAATTTGGATATAAGGAATGTGGCACCTTAGCATAAGGTCCAGAATAATCATCTAGTTAAACAGTCAGCCTACTCAGCAGGAAGCCCACTGAAATGATTCCACAGAGCTACAGGGAGGTGTCTCCTTCCACTTGGGATCCACAACCTGTAAAGCTTGTTTCAAAGGCAGGCGACTACGCCTTTTCTTTCAAAATCCTAACAGGATTCACTTTTCTTTTTAAAGATGGGGAAGTAAGAGGGTGGTGCTGCTGCCCCTTTTATACAATAGCCTAAAGGCTCAAGCATTCACCCAGGTTGAACTTGGATCTCCCACAATTCCCTTCTTTGCCTAAAGGATATCCAGCTCACATCTCCCACCTCCTTGGAGAGTGCCCCAACTGCCAGGCTATAGGCTGTTCTTGGGTGGGCCACTCTCCACCCCTTCTATTGAAGCTGTGCCATTGTGGAGAAAAGAATTCAACATCAGCTAGGTCAGAAACTGCGAGCGAGCCTGACTCTGCAAGCAACTGGCTCAGAAACCTCCTAGGGTCTAGGAAAGGGAGCGTCACAGGTTCCAAATGCCGTTCCAACATCTGGACAAATGGTCTAGCCAACAGATAACTACACGAAAGACAGTAATCCTCCTTAACTCTCAGCACTGTATCCATTTGCTGCAGAATCCAATTTTGTAGCAGCACTGTGAGAAAGAATATTGATGGATTCTTTAAGGAAAAACAGACTAAGAAGTGCCTAGTTTCTGAATCTTAGCTGGGTAGAAGGCAGGCACCTACTTGTTGCATAAAAATTGGGTCTTGCCGAAGAATACCTTTTTAAGACTTTGGGAATGTTAACGTTATAAATTAGAATACCCATAAAGTTTAGACTCTCCCAGCATCATGTAGCAGCTGAATGGCATTTTAAGACTTGAATATACACTGGAATCCAGTCCACCTACTGTACACATCTAGCTTGCACTTAGGTTTCAGGTGTCTAATGAAGCAGGCTTTCTGAAGAAAGGTAGGCAAATTTGATTTATATGAGTGAGGTAGTTCTGAAGGCCTTCAGAAGCAGACATTGTATGCCTCAATTTAGAAATCTAAATTAGTCAGATTCCCTTCTGAACACATTCAAAGGCTCTCTCACTACATTAACTACATAAAGACAAAAAGGTTACTGAAATTAACTTTTTTTTTTTTAAATGTGTAATCCACCTGTGCCTTCCAAAGGTGGCTGTCCTTGAGTCTCATCAGTCAAGACAGGATCATTTTCTCTTAGAATATCCTTAGAGAGTACTCTCTTGCTTTTCCCCTCCCTTACCTAGGCCATAATAGCAAGCGTGACTGCTGTCATTTCAGTCACTCCTCAACTACCTGGATGGAAAATGGAAGGATGGGAGAGGGACAGATATGAAGCATGCAAGTCCTGAACATCACTGATTACTAGTAAACAATCTGACCAACATGCTTCAAGTGTTCCCACCATAACACTCCATTTCTGGGTAACTCCAAGCAAATGTCTTCAAATGATCAAATTACTTGACTGAGAATTCTGTCAAGGAGCAAGACCGAAATAAGACAGTGTTTGGTAAAGTTGCATCTACAGCACTAGTTTTGTCATGAAATTGATGAATTCCTACCACAGAAGTTATTTCAGTCCAGGTAGAATGTGCCCAGGCAACAAACAAGGGTTCTACCAGTCACAAAATGACTGCAATCTTGTACAGAGCATCCTCCTTTTTGACATTTACACTTGGAAATAACCAAAGTATTTAATTTCCCTGGACTGGACATACACTGTCTGAGAAAATTTAAAAAACCCCTCCACCTATGTATAGAATCTTCCTGACAAAAGCATGCATCTGGGGGGAAGAAATACAAGCTGATGGAGATGGAACTGTGACACTGCTTTAAGAAGAAAATTTAGGTAGGTCCCAGGGATAGCTTAACCTTAGAGAACAGAGCTCATGAGGGTTTGAATTTTCCTTAACCTACACCAATACAAACAGCAATGAAGGAAGCCACTTTCATGAGAAGATGACAAAGAGCTGGAGTAAAGGAATCATTAGAACAAAGTTCAAATCCTCATGAAAAAATAGTGTCTGACAGCAGGGTATGCTCTGGACTAGCCCTTTAAAGAGTGTAAACTGTGTAAACAGCCCAGGAGTCCGTTGATCAAAGACTGTGTGTAGTGACAGCAATGTAAGATCACAGAAGTCCAGCTTCCTTCAGTTTCATTAGATTATTCAAAAACAAGCAGAAGGCAGAGGCATTAGAGGCGGAGATGGAACCGTCAGTGCAACACACTGGAAACTTGGACAGGGTGAATATGTGTCATTGCTCTTACTATGAGCTAGGACTGTTCTCACTCACCAGAGAAAAGCAGGATCCTGTAAAAGAGAAATCTGTGCTATGGACTGTTTCTAGGTTACAATGGATTAGGCAATCTGTTCTCAATGAAGGAAGAGCTTTCATAGACAAGCATGATCTTGAAGTCAGAACCTCTTTGGCTAGCCATGCCTGAGAAATTAAGTTAAATAAGCCCTGAAGTCCCTTACCTTGACCGCAGAAAGGCATACATCAGGTCACTTAGCTGCAATATCAGGAACAAGCTGAAAAAACACCCAGACACCAACCTGCTGAAGTGGATACCAGAGGCATTTTTTTGTTGGCAGTGAGCAGAACTGTTAGAGCTCTGAGAAGAAATTGGGGGGAAATCCTAATTTTTATCCAGAAGAACAACTCTGCTTAGGCTGTAGACAAAAGAACTAGATGACCTAGGTAGCTGAAGAGCTGACTGGCACTAGCTATGTCCAACATTAAAGTCACAACTGCTTCTTCATCAAGGAGAATGACCATCTCCTTGTTTACATAATACACTGTTCAAAATGCCTGACTTCACCTGCACATACTTCTGACCTATCTTGGTTCACAGTGGACACCAACCACTGTCCAGTACTGGTCGCCTTCTTCAAATGCTAGAAGAATGTTTGCCACGGACATCATCCTAATGTTTCAGATATACAAGTTGAACCTCCACATCCATACAACGAAGAACCAGACACTCTTCTTTTTTTGTCATGAGGAAACAATTGTGGTAGAACCCCTCCTCCCCTTCGCTATGCCAACATCGACTTTACGGCAAGCCAAGATAACATATCAATCTCCAGTAAAGGCAGGTTCTCATGGGACAGATCATCTCTGAGAGGCAAGGGGAAGGGGGAAGCAAAAGGGAAATGAAAAGTGGCAGCAAGGCAAAGTGGATTAACTAGCTGCTTCTAATTGTATCTAGTACTTGGGTATCTGATGTCATGCAATGCCAGTACAGTAAAAAATGGTTTAGATCTAAGGTCAGAGGCAGAGATCATTCTGAGCACACCTTTGGGGTGTACCTAAGAACCCCTGTGAAGCATGACGTCTAATGCAGTAAGGTTCTATGTCATTTTGGTCAGGTTCAAAGTGATCGGCTATCTTTCTAGAATCATTGCCTCCACTCCTATCAGCCCTGAAAGCTGAAACTGCTCAGGTCTATGTGATGGGAAAGGCCTGCCATCAATGAAGTTTGAACAAGCTTTGTGTCTCAGCAGCAGAGAGTGGAATCTTTAATGAATAGAGTGGCCTGGGAATCTTTTGTTCTGAGGCTGAAATAAAGAACAAGTTAAGGCAAAGGGAGATGCTGAATGGCATGCTTGTCCCTCCTTTGACATGCTACCTCTCTGCAGCCACAAAGACCACAAGAGATTTGCTGACTAAGGAGGCTGTGTCCACCCTACACTGATGGTAACTTGTAAACACAGCCTGGAAAATTGCTGGTGTTTCTGAAAGAACAAAAAGAAAAAATCCATAGCATCAGTACAAAGAGGAGAAAAAAACCTGAATATTTGTTGAGTAATTTGAACTACTAGCAGGCAAACAGGATCAGATAGTTTGCCAGTCAAAACTGCAGTTAAATTGAAGAATAACATGTTTTCCCAGGCTGTCCACTTGCTTGACTTCCGTGAAGACGAGATGAGGACAGGTAGTGTAGAACGTCAATAAAACTAACATGGTTCAATCTCTATCTGCTGCATTAGGGTAATGCATGGGGTTTCCAGCACCCTCCACAGCAAGTCCTCAGAACATCTCTGATGATCCACATCAGTCCGTCCAACCTCCGGCATGGGAGGAAGCTGGCTCTCCCATAAGAATCTCTGGGAAAGAGCAGGACAGAAAGGAGGTTGTTCTAGGTTTTTAATCATTAAAAGTGCTCATTGATTGCCCTGTTACAGCAGGTCCAACACCCACGTCAATCTAGACAGACCAGAGAACAACAGACTAATCCAGAGAATGAAGTCTTGAGCTCACTGCCTTTGATAGAGGCGATGCGGTCTGGATCCTGCTCCCCTGAGCTCAACAGCCACATTCTATATTAAGGAGAAGAAATCTGGCAGAAGGTATATTTTGTGTGTACTGAACCATGAGATGGAAAACATCCTCTCCAGAAGGGGCAAGGATACTCTTGGTGTCAGGGAACTTTTGCTGGAGACAGCAAACACTGAGATGGGGGGTGCAAAACCAGCCAGGCAATGACATACTCTGATATCCGTATTCTGTTTCTACAAGACTCGTGCCAAACCTGAGACTCCCAACAATGGACCCAAGAACGGTACCCGGCGGAGGGATGTGGTAGAGCTGTGCCTTCGTGGTGAAAAGTAAGATAGCCAACTTTGTGTCAATCCTCCAGTGGTGCTCAAAGAGCCAACACAAATGTGTAATGGACCAGTACTGGGGGAAGCAGCATAATATGTATGACACCTGCCCCAATTTTTACCACAACTAACAACCAAAAAAAGATCAAGCTGATGATACTGAGTGTCCTTTCTATGTACCGTAAAAAGGAAAGAACAACAAAAAACTTTCCAGTCTCAAGTTACAGAGTACTAACATACCCATATGTATGTACAAGTGGAGAGGCATGAATAAAATTAAATACTTTGGAAGTCTTCTTTACTACCAGCATGTAGAATTTCTGGTGCTAGATGGGTGTCAAAGTAAGGTGGAATGAACCTATCTTTAAATTTCAACAGTCCCATTGACCTTAATAGCCTTTGGCTTATATTCTTAATTAGCAAGAAATGTCAGCTCCCAGCTACTCTTTATGTTTTAGCAGCCCGCTTATTTAGTTTGGAAGCAGGACTAATTACAGATACTACTCAAATGGCACAAAATCTTCAGTATAATCTCTTCCTCATTACTGTCTCCAGTTTCTCCCTCCTCTTCTCTTTCTCAATGGCTTTCAGATTCTCTTGTCTTTATGCTGTGATTCAAAAAAATTTGTTTACAAAAGGCACCACCAGGGTTGGATGATCTCAATTACAATTTACTTTTAAGTTACTGGTTTACTTGACTTTCTAATTTATACTAATGGAAAATATTTGAATGAAATTATGTGTCAGAGCATTCATGTATTTGCATGACCAATCCTGCACATGAACCTTTCAAGAATTCCCTTATATTGATTGAAAAGACCATTAGACATCCTATTTGAGTGGTTCTAAGAGGAGGACACCGAGGATTTCCATTTTGTTTTGGTGACAGAAAGAATTTCTCACAGCAGCTTTTCTCGTCTTTCCTCTCATGCTGCTAGTTGTTACCCCCCACCAATGTAGTTCACAACCCCCCAGTTGTACTGATTACAACTATTTACAGGACCACGTTATAGATCAGATCAGTAAAATGACTGTGCTGAAATCAATTTTTTTTTTTTTTTTTTTTCAAACTAGAGGGGGGTTTTGGGGTTCGGGATTCCTACACAAGCTAAACTACACCACACAGCAAAAGAATAGAGAAATCTATAGATTCCAGGCTAATTTAAACTATTTAAATGGAGACTATAGCAATTTTTTTTTTTTTTTTTTTTCAATCTAGAGCTTTCCACTGATCTGGTTTACAGTATAATGCTACGAACAATTGGCACAACCAGGAGTTTGGAAAACTGTGGGAACTTCTTAAGTGCTTTTAGTGCTGAACAAAAACATACTGTGGAGCTACACCTTAAATTGCTAAAGTAAAGAGAAGGTGTTGTTACCTATTAGACATACTGGGTGCACATTATGCTGTGGGGGTTTTTTCCAGTCTTGATACTCCCTCCCTCATAAAATATTGAGATTAGTTGGTTCACGGTTCTGTCATACTTAACAGCAGCTGTATATTTCAGTATAAGAATGAATATAAAATACAAACCTGTGTAACAACAACTACTACAGCAATGCCAGTAGATGTTGGAGTGGAATCCCACTGAAGAGGTCTGCCGTGAGACTTCTTCATTCTGCCTATCGTCCAACCCATACACAGACTCAACAATAAATACAGCATTTGTATCTGTGAGACTATGTCACACACTATTGAAAACAAAAGAAAAATAAATAGTCACAACAAAAATAAAGTTTTTTTCTAAAGCAAAGAGAAATGTTCTATATACCCACAAATGAAGGATGGACATTTATGCCTCTGTACCACCTTTAGTCATAATTTTGATGATAATTTCATCAAAGCTGAAGGTTGCTTTGCTACAAAACGTGGATATTTTGAGTAGTTTCTAGTGCCCAAACAGATCACTATCAGCTTTCCTCTAGTTATGCTGAAGTTCTGCAACAACACGGGCACAGCGCCACATCCTTCCAAATCCCACTCTTGTGTCAAAGAAGTCTGGGCTCAGGAGTCCATCTGCATAAATAGGCTTATAAATGCTAAAGAACTAAAATCATATGTATGTTAATCACACTGCAAATATGAAACATGATGAAATGAACTCCTTTCTTTGCTCTGAAAAACTTTTGTTCAGAAATCAGATAGTTGCATTGTACTTTAAATTAATTGCACTTTGTCTTAAGGATGCAGTAGCTTGCAACAGAAAGCACAAATATTTAGGACAAATTCCACTCTCAGGTACGTAAAGGGGAAAATATAATGAATAACCCTAACACAAACTTCATTTGGAGCAACAACTTGCCTGTATTTCATTTTATTAAATGCAAACTACCTTTGCCTCATTTTGCTATGTCCATTTTTTTTGCTCTGTTTGGGAACAATTAACACATACTCCATAAAGTTACATTCTTAATCAGCGTCTCAAACCTGTGTTTGAAGCTGTATCTGAATAAAGAAAACTTCAAGCTAGAATGTATTAAAGCCTTTACTTGTTAGCCTTGCTGAAGTACTACTGACAATAGAAAGAACTGAAGATTTCTTTCTGGGTGATTGTTAGCTTTAGACCTGGTAAGTTTTTGACTGAAACTTATTGAACAATTTTTAAGTTGGTGTTTGGACTTGAGAGTAAACTGGTTCATTGTACTGGCATAGCAGAGATATACAAGAAAAATTGATTCTTATATTACCTAAATTGCAAATTTGGTTCGGAAACTAGAGATTGGGCACTACACAGAGAAATGCTTTCTTTTTAACTTGATTAGTATTTTAGTTCCATTAAATTTGTTCCTTATTTGTACTTTTCACTTACACTATCAGGTACGAGAAAAATATTTCTATGTCACAAAAGTAAACTTCTATTTTTGTACAGCTGGACTCTGTTATAAAAGATACATGTACTTCCACATTTACTAAAAATATTGGCGCAAAAAATGTTGCCACTGTACAGAGATTAATATGCACACAAGGGAAGCGTGTCAAATGAAGATCAGCTACAGTATTTCACTGACACTCAGCAATACTAGGAAAATATGGATATAAACCAGACTTCAACATGTTACTCCTGGGATGTATTTGGTATTCTCACAGTTTATATGCTTAAATGCTTCTTAATGTACTCTGACACCTTTGCTGTTTAAGAAATGTCAAGAGCTTTTAGTAAATACAAACTTGCTCATTCTTTAATAAAATGAACTGGCACTGATTTTGGTCAAAATGATCTTGGAATTATTTTACAATGCTAGCTATGGAGACATAGTACTCGCTAGAAAAAAGTGTTACGTGAACTCAAGGCATGCCAAACCAGTGTCACAAATCCAAGCTAGAGAAATGACTGAACAAATCTGGATGTTCTAGAGAGCATTTTATTTTCTGTCACTCCTTAAGATAACTTGCCCTATAAGTTATAGCCAGACATCATCTCTCAGTCACATCTTGGATATACATACTGCTCTGCTTCAGTGCGGCAACAACTCAAGTGGATTCCCAGACAAAATGGTGTAAGACAAAAATTCAGTACCGGCTTTAATCTTTGACATCTTCTACACCTTGCCAGAAAGTAAGAAGGTTGGGAGAAATTTCTAAAATTACAACAATCCCAAGATATCCAGGGTCAGTGTAAAGTCACATGCTACTGAGCTGATACCACATTTGTCTGACTTCATCACAATTCATCTTTTTTGGCTGTTCAACAGGCATAGTAATATTCCTTGACTTTTCACATTTCTATCTTATCAAAAGTTAAAAGATCACTTTTTGTGATGCTTTTGAGTGCCAGCATTATTTGTGTGATTTATGCGATTAACTTAGGTGATAAATTAGACTGAGGGTCAGTTCTTTATACATGGTAAAGACTAAAGGATGGTAGGAAAAGAGTAATTGCTTGCGATAGTATCTGAACAGGCTTCTAGAAAGAAAATCTGGCCCCATTGAAGTCAACAGAAATTTTACCATTTACTTTTAACTGGATTTCTGTTCTGATACAGGAAAAGTGGTAGCACCTTCCATCTTCAAACTATTCTACTTGCTATCAGCCATTTTTCAGAATTGTAATTGACACTGAAGCTTTCCACATTTCTATTACTTCTGCTCTTTTACTCTTTTGGGAACCACGAATCTTAAAAACAGCAGGAAAGGAAAACTCTCAGCTGAATTTAAGAAATTCAGCTATTGATTCAAAAAATATTATTTTATTCTTAATAACCTTTGCTTTAAGCAAATAAAAGTGGTCTCTTCACTGTAACACATACACAGAAAATCTAACATGCAGCTCTGAAGTTCTGTCTGTGCAGTTAACACTGGGTTTCTCACTGTGGAGGAGTTATGACTACCTCCATATTCTCTGTTTAATTTAATTTCAGGAGATGAGAGGGGAAGTTTAATAATACAGTTGCTGGAGAGGCTGCAAGGAGCTGCCAACTCAAATGGTTAAAACAAGAAAGAGGCAATTACTGTGGTGCCAAGTGCCATCAAGAGGCTGTTAATTCCAACTGCAAGCTTCTAAATGAACTCCAGGAAGGGAAATATTTTTCTATATAGGCTGTTACTCTCCAATGCTATCTCACTACCACAGTACTACCTTCTTGGGGTGCTTCAAGTCAATCAAAAGGCAATGTATTTGCTTAGAAAGAACCCCCCAATGCTTCAAATGTGAACTACCCAACGATGTTTAACCCTGAAGAATCCAGCAGGAGTAAATTAGTGCATTTTGGGAAGGGTTGTTATAGGAATTCAGTTCCAATGAGAACTCAGGATATCTATACAGAGTGGAGAAAAATGCTTTGTTAACATGAAAACTTTACATAAGCATTTTTTTGCATCACTCTAATCCTATCTCTTGTGCTGTAAAACACTTAATTTTTCATTATAATCAATGTTAAATTTGCTAGTGAAATGACACACTCCATAAAATATGATTGTTTCCTAAAAAGCTTCGTTACTTTAGATCATGCAAACTCCGCAAAACCTTCAACATATTGAAACATTTACTCATGTGATAGGCATGTATTTAAGTGTTTGTGGGATGGAATCTTCAGACAAGAAAAGCTTTTAAAAAAATCCTAAACAAGATCACAATTGTGTAACTTTAAGTACTGTTATTGTAAACATCCAGAAGAAAACCTGTTTTTCAGAAGAGCAACTTTTATTATTTTATATTAAAGATCCAGTGGTATGGTCCAAGATAATACAGTCCAGCAACAGCATTCACTAATGTATTATACAGATTAACGTGTAGGAATATGTAAGAAACAGTAGACAAGCATACTCACATTCTGCCAGACTTCCCATAAAAGGTGCTCCTATTCCATCTCTAGAATAACTGATAAAAGAATAAAAGATGGTATTTTTAAGTGAGTGAGTCTTAAATGTGTGTTCTCCCTTAAAAGTACATTTAGGCAATGATGTAGTTCTAAAAAGTCAGTCCTATGTTTTGTCAGTCACCACAGGAAAGCTTATGTACTGATCTTTACAACAGAATGTTCTTCAAGTCTTAAGACTGAAAGCAAAGATAAGCAAAGATACCTTGAGAAATGCAGGTAGTTGGCAAAAGCTGAACCAGCCTGCAACAGTAACGCAATTGTCAACACCTTTAATACAGTATGCATAGGTCCACGCTTCTTAATTGTTTGCCATAGGGACTGTGCGTATATGCAAGCAGTTATGAAGTATGCTAGGACAAGCAGGAAAAAGAATTCATGTAATCCTGCGAAAAAAGAAATACAGCTTAGTTTTTATAAAGAAACGTTGCTACTAGCAGTAAATAACTAAAACAAAATATGTTTTTTATATAATCACTGGGAAATACTTAGTAACTGTCACCCAAAAGTGGTAGTACAGACAAAATTAGTAAATCAGAGCCTATTTTATCCAAGAAAGTCAGTGAATTTTTTCAGAGAGCTGATTATTGTTTGATCTGACAAAGTATTTTTTATTCAACAATACCTTTTCTGAGTGTAGGAGAGTTTCTGTTCAAATACAAATAGCTTTGTAGCAATTACTGAAATAGTATAAAGTGGCATACAGTTTCTTGATAAACAGAAAATAATCGTAGCCCATTTGATCAGTCAGAAACATATTTATTAAAGGACTCATTTTTAGCTCTTTTTTTTTTTTTGCTTCAATTTTTAAAGGCACAATCTGAGCTGAGAGAAACCCAGAAGAGACTTCTGCTGAATCTATTTAACCACTGGGTGTCACTCTTCCTCCACGTAAAGTAGTTAGTCCAAGAAGCACAGCTGACCAAGACAGAAAACTTTTAGATAAAGAAAAATGGAAAGAAAAATAGCACAGAGAACAATAATAAGTTCATAGAGTGGATTTTTTTTACACCAATCTGAAAAAATGCCCAAAGTTTTTGGTATTATTTACAAAACAGAACTCCTCTAATTTTCAGTCTGGCAGTAGTCTCGTAAAATGCTTCCCTGAAGACCTGGATCCTGGAAAACTGTTTCTATTGTCTGGGAGCTTTGGAACCCACCATATGAGCTCCCAAAGGGTCAAAGCCAGTGAGCTATAAGCAAAAAATGGGTAAACAGAAATTTCTCACAGAAAACGTATGTTTTTCTTCTCCAGCCTTCCTTGAAACCAAGTGGTGCCCACAGAATCAGATTCTGAACAATGTTTTCCCTCCAGCAGCAAAACAATTCTGCTAAACACTTCAACCAGCTCCACTCAGAGATTAGAAACAGAGCAATTATACACATTTAAATATCTAAGTTGAAAAACATTAGAACTGGATGAGTTCTGAATAGTTGCTAGTACTATAACTTCTATGGCTAAAATTAATCAGCTTGGACATACCTACAGTGAAATAGGAGAAAAAGAGCATAAGGTAATAAAGACTCATGAAACAAAAAATTCAGGGCCGCTCTGCTTCTCTTGTATACCTACACAAAAGCATGATTTATGACTGACAAAAATATGCGTTTTAGATCAAATCTCTTATTCTTCCTTTCACTCTTTATCTTTTGGCTTCAAAAGATACCCACTGAAGTTGGCAAGGATTCTGTAGATAAATTATTTCTCACCATGATGAGTGGGTACACATGGAAAACTCTTTAGGAAAATCAACTAGCTTTTAATAAACACTAAAACATTTAGGATAGAAAGCTCCTTCCAACCAAAGACAGATTGGAGATGATTGGCTTGAGACCAAAAGGATTTAAGAGAAAGTTGAACTGAAATACAACTATAAAAAAACCCAGAAGGGTAATTTTCAACCTTTTTTAAGTTTTTTGACTTTCAAGTAACCTAGAGTTGACAGAGAAAATAACACGTATGTACCTTAATTTGAAATACCTAACTAGAAAGATCTTCAAAATGCTGTCTACCTGGTCAGCTGCCCTTCGAAATCCTACATTCCACTGGTACCATGTCTTCCGTAACAGAACGTATCATATAAAATGGTAAAAGATTACTTGCTAGGGATCAGAAGCCAGGCCTGCTCCTCTCTCAAGGCAAACAATCTTAATCACAAGGTTACAGTCTCAAGTTCTTTCCTATACTCTCCTTATAGCCCATTTAATTTTGAGTTTCCCTGTGTCAGGCCACAACTTTAGTAACTGAAGTGAAGGGTGACCTAACTAGAACCATCTGGAACTATGTAGTTTTTAGCTGCCCAAGTGAAAGAACCAAGAAATGAAGCTGGATCTTTTCTTTGATGCCCTAATGTTCTATGCTGCACATCTCTATGGAAAAAGGACAAAAATTATTCCCCAAAGATGCATTTAAAAAAAAAAAAAGGAAAGAGAGAGAGAGAAGAAATCCTCGTCAGTTCTTTGAAAGTTCTAAATAAACAGAGGTGTTCCTCTGCAACCGTGGAAGACACGGCATGTAAAGCTCATCCTGTTTCCTATTTGTTGGATCTAAATACGTGCATCCAACAGATTTATACACCTCCTTGCTTAGCATGCAAGCTGTTCAGAGTTCTGCTTCCAAGTCCTCAAAGTCTTCCTACAAAATTAATATAGAGCTGAGGTGCCTCTCTAGGAGGTCTGTACACCACTTTTAAGGGCCACATAATATCTTATAGCTGCTTTGCCCATTGATTTAGCAAAAGAACGCTACTACTGCTTTTTGAGAATAAGTAAATTAACCTAGAATTCACTTCTGGATACAAAATTCATGAAACAAAAACTGCCAACTAAGTTTGTAGCACAATTAAGGAGTTAAAGAGACAGGTAGGTCAACTTAGAAGCCTTGAAAAATGGATGATTAACAGTGCTACTTTCTTACAGATTCTGCTAAATGTTTCAGCGAATATTCTCTTCCCTTCAAAAAGGGAGCTGCCTTTGTTCCCTCTATATCCTCTTGAGACCAAGCATGACAGCAGGGCACACGATTCTTTGCATAGCAATTAGGCTTATTCTGGGTACGTAGGTTAAAGCTGTATATGAAGGCAGACTAAGCCTATTGGGCTCTTCCCTTACAACAGACCTAGGTTAGTGACATGTTGATGAGGCCTCCCAGAGCAGTGAAGCCAAGCGCTGCACTGAAGCACAGAACCATAGCATCATTTAGGTTGGAAAAGACCTTTAAGATCATCAAGTCCAACCGTTAACCTAGCACCGCCAAGTCCACCACTAAACCATGTCCCTAAGCACCGCATCTACACATCTTTTAAATACCTCCAGGGATGGGGACTCAACCACTTCCCTGGGCAGCCTGTTCCAGTGCTTGACAACCCTTTTGGTGAAGAAATTTTTCCTAATATCCAATCTAAACCTCCACTGGTGCAGCATACATTAGGTTGGTTTGGATTGTCCAAAGCATACAATTTTACGTAGGCATTTCTTCAGCTGCTGTCTTGAGTCACTTCTAGAAGTTCTTCTTTGCAGGCTTAAAGATTTAAAATTGCATTTCTTAAATAAAATAGAATCGGGACTGACAAATATCTCATCTAATCTGTGGCCTGTGACTAAGATACTTAGAAAGACCTAAACATTGAACTGAAACTGTATCGGCGAAATGTTATATCGTGCATGTACTCGTGTTGCACAGAATCAAGTTTTACACAGCTAAGGAATTTCATGAATTAAATAAGCAAATTCATTAAAATCAGGGATTAAATTCACATTCAAGTGGAAGCTTACGATTTCAACAGGGGAAAAATACCTATTAGCAAAGACGTCAACACTATCTTTCCTTGTGCATCTATGCTTCCAGTTAGGCAAGTTTTGGAAAGTCAGTCTAGAGAAAAGGAAGGATTTTTCTGTAATGCCGGAAAATGAATTAAAGTTTACTCTCTGTGAGAAAGTAGAATCTGAAATGTAAGAGACTCTGCTATCCATTCCCGAGTGCCACACTTTTCCAAGCATAGTAAGTACTGATTTGTTTGGGTGATCAGATCCTTAACTTACAAATCTAATTTTAAGAAAAAAAATCTTACCAGATTCCCCTGCGCTAAAGTGATCTAATGGATTCCCTTCTGCATCTGGGTTTAGTAAGACCATTTCAAACTGAATATCCTCGGATTCAGAATAATTCTCCTCGCAGGTAAACTTGTCTACATAAAACACATACCATGTTTCCGGATAAGGAATCTGGGACACTGTCAGATTTTGCTCTGTGTGGTTCACAGTCACTTTGGAAGAAAACAAACAAACAAACAAAGGAGTAAATACTCGATTAGTTTGTTTTTAGAAAACTCATCTCTGACTAAAGATAAAATTTAAATCCACAACATCACATACCAGTTATAAACTACATGCAGTACAAAACAGTCTTTGTTTTGAAAGCTAGCTACCACACCAGAGTCCAGACTTCCATCCTCGCCTTTTGCTTCAAATAGGTGCAGGCACAGGTTGGTGAGGATATGTACCGGATTCCACCTCTCAGCTTTTGGGTTCGCTGGGAGGGCTCCCTTCTGCCAGAAGCCAGCAATTGCAAACTGCGTCTCCTATGCTTGGCACACTTCCATCCTCTAGTACCGTATTGATGGGACTAGCTATTTTGTATTAGCCAACGGATACTTCTGCAGTATGGAAAATAGCTTTGTGACATTTATTCTACTCTATTTTCAAAGACATTTAGAGCACTGAACAGGAACAGCCACATGCGAGATTAATAAACAATAGCGTGCATGCTTTCAAGGTGCAACTTAGCATATTTTACAGCATCTTCCCCAAACCGTAATAAACTGAATTTCAATTGACAGCTAATGGCGGAGACCACTGTCTAATAAAATGGTGTATTTCAAATCAGTTTACATTTAAAACCAACTATGTGAGAGACTGAAGTTTCATCTGCTCATTGATCTTACCACTATTTTTCCTTAAAGCAACTATTAATGTATGCACAATCTCTCCAAAATAAACACTTGCTGAAAATGAAATCTGTGGCTCTGTATGTTTGGGTGAAACTATAAGGATAGTAAATACTGTTACACTGATTACTGAACTTGAGTGCTAATCAGCTCAACCATAAATGAAAGTCACCTCTGTAGAAGAAATAACAGTATAACGAGTGGACTGCAGATTAATTCACCGTAATGGTTTAAGATGACAATGGCTAAGGATGAAGAAAGAAAAATTTCATTAAAATTCTACAAAACAACCTATTTCTGTTTTTTATGAAAAGTCTTTTCTATATGAAAAAGGTGCAAACATACATACAAAATAACCCTTAGCAAACTCGTTATCCCTAAATATTCTGTAGATAAAATTTAGAACTAATTTCTATCTTGAAGCCTACCTGTGAAAAACATTTATGTAATGTAAATAAACTTGTTTCAACTTCAAGAAGTTATTTTCCGTTCTCTGAAGGCATGAACTGATCAACATTAGGATGCAGGAAGAAACGTATGATGTGTCTCTGCAGCAATTGTCACGAAGTACAAATTCAGACAACACATGAACCAGAAAAAAAAGAGTGTTCTAACACAGGCAATCTGTCTTGTGTAGCTAATGGTAAGTATGCATTCCACTCTGGAGCTACATATCTTATCAATCAAATATACAAAGTGAAACAGCTCCCTTCAAAAAAATCGAGATTTTTAAAAACACAGTTTTAGGTTTTCATATGGCGCTTAATCCAAACGAAAGGCAAACTGCAGCTGACGGGTGGCTTTACTCTCCATCTGTACTCTCAGCTGAGTTCTGACACAGAGTTATTTGCATCACGACTAAGGATCACACAGAGCATGTTTAATCAGTTTTCCATCAAATCTGCAAGCTAACTCACAGAAAATGAAGTAAGATAAAATAAAAATGTAATTGATTTTGCCTAAGATCAGCAAACAGATCCAACTCACCCTGTGATCATATGATTCCTAAACCCAGCAGAAAACAGCGAGTACATTGCTGGGACAGACAGGAGTGCTGGACCAACTGCTAGTCGTATCAGCAGCACTTCATGTTCAGCTCAGAACAAGTGTAGAACTACATCCTTAGAAGTGACATCTGTGTAAGATTTCGTTATGACAATGTTCCAGGAGATCAGTTTGTTACTCTAGGGATTCTGGCTGCGCAGAGGAAATGTATTTCAAAAAGAAGCTGTATTCACTGAAGATATATTTGAATGAAGTTTCTAATATTAATTTAATTTCTTAAAGGAAAATTTATGCTTTAAGTAGGTATTGTAATATTACTATCAATAAATGGTGCAAAAATGATTATTTCAGTATGTTTGTCTTCCAGTTACATAATTGAATGTTTCAATGTTTTACTGTTCTTTTAAATTTAGATGGATACTCAAGTTAAGCTTGATCCTAATTAGCTCATCTTTGATACTGTATTAAAAATTTTCTAACATGTTTTGTACAACAAAGTGTGACAGTTTTGTGCTATCATGAAAATGAAAATATCCTTTTATTTTTGTTTTCTCGTCTTTGAAAAATGCCATTTCCATGGAATTGGAGAACAGGAGCCTCCTGACAAATGAGAAATTTTCCTCCAGAAACAAAAGACAACAAGGTAAGCTGTATATTCTGTACTGGTATAATTATCTGCTCAAATATTAAAAACATTTAAATGGGAGATTCAGTGATGAATACCAAATTACAAAATTAAAGGGTGAAAGAACATTAAATGATAATGCAGGCAAGTTATAAAGTAAGGCAGCATAACCCAGATTAATTTTCGCAGATGACCTGACAGACAGGGCCGTGGGGGGGAAGCTAATGATTATGAGGTTGTGAAAGGGAAAACAAACAAACAAACCAACCAACAGAGAAAAAAGGTTTTCAGGTACAAAATTACCCTTTTACTGTGTACTTGGGCTACACACTCCCCACCTTACAAGCATTCACTTCGGAGGTTTAGAGGCAACTGCAACAGGCTCCATCAGTTTGCCTCTAATTTTTTCATTCCACTGCAATAAATGTCAGAGTTCAAACCGTACATTTGACTGTCCCAAACACTTAGATTCTCAAGTTCTTCTGTTTCATACTACAGTGGTATTCTTTGTAAATTCTTTCAAACACTCAACATAATCTTTTTTATGGAAAAGTTTGAAATTAAAAAAAAGAAAGACTTTTACTCTAAGTGGAGTTAAAGAAAATCTCTGTACTGAATGAGTAAATGAAAACTTCTGCCAAACGTGTACCCTTTCTGAGTTGTGTACAAGTGAGAGCATGAGACTAGAACTGGTCATAAAGTTTGGCTGTTTGCATTGAAGTCATTTGTCAAAGATTGTTCATTTTCCAGCAGTATACTAAATCATAACTTGCAAACAAAGTCTTCTGAAGTGATACAAATAAAGCAATAATTTTTAATTACAGAAGGCCGAAGTCCTGCTTTTACTTAAGTTGATGCAAAGTCCAAATTCATGCAAATAAATATTCTAAATACACAGATAACTTAATTCGTAAGGACAAAAAAGTAGCAACTCACTTGTCAGCTGAGCTTTAGAGAACTTCTCTGTACAGCTGTGATCTTGGATACTGTTCTGCAGCTTCTGCCATTCCTGTGCTTGAAACAGGTGAATTCTAGCTGTTTTTGTCACAGCTACTGCTACGTTCTTGATTCTGACACACAGAACAGCATGGTCACCTTGATATTTAAAAAATAAAGTCAACTACTCTGCCTTGATGTCAGTTACAAACAGAAAGCTAGTGTGGCATAGATTTTTTTATAAATAGCAGCACCAAAGCTTCACTTTATTTCTTAAACTTTTACCACTACTTCTCATAGAAGTCTTTACGCTCTTTCAGAAACAATTTCTATACATCTCATTAACACAGCACTGCATGCACCATTCTCTGTGATGGTACTTAAACAAACCTTCACCATAACCCAAATGTCATTAAACTTCTCTACTACAAACAGCCTTCCCTCCCCTCCTCTTTTTTTTTTTTTTAACAGACTTCCAGACCTTTTTTTTTTTTTTCCTTCCTCCCATCCCAAATTTTATTTTCTCAAGTTCAGCTAAAGACACTGCCTCGATCAGTCTCAATAACTGGTTCAAAGTCTAGTATTTTTTGACCTTTGTAGCATGATTATGAGCACCATAGGGTAGCTCTTGAGTCTAATACCAGAAGAACTTATGTAAATGGACCTTCATGTTATGGACTGATTAAAGCTAAAATACTTAATTATAGATAACAGATGTCAAATTGATACAAAGAAAATCAAACTTCAAAAGTGTTCTCTAATGTGTCAGTCTACCTATAGGCTGCATCTTGACACAGAGAAATATTTTAGGCATTTTAGAACCAGCTCATTTGACACAATTTATCTTGTCTGGGTAATTCTACAATCCTCAAACTTATTTTGATAAATTCTTTCATTATATATTGCCACAGACTTCTTTAATGTAACAGTATCCTAAATTAAAAGATAGGACTTAATGGAGAAGAAAAATCAATCAGTACTTCAAGAGCAGAAACTCATTCAAATTTAAGCAAGCTTTGTATGTTTTTTAAAGTGTCAGAGCAATCTTCTTTCCCACCTAACCTAGGCACCAGCTGGCTGTGAGTCAATAGACTACTACCAGCTTCAAATAAGGCTTTGCCAGGAAGGTTTGCCTGTTCAGAGCCAGCTGCAAGACAGCGGTCCTGCAATAAAACCTCAAAAAAGGTGATCTCCTGGGATCTGTAAAATGTTATATGGACTACAGTTTACCTAAGTTGCTAATAAAAGACTTTGAAAGATTAACAGAAGATTCTAAAAAAAGCCCATATGGCTTCACTAGGACCCAAAATATACATAGTTGTGCATATTCATGCAGAAAGAGGAATATTTCTATGGAAATACGCAACATCGACTTGTACAATAAATTATATCTGAACACCTAAACCACTCATCTTGAATCTTAACATTCTTTTCTCAGATTTAAGGAGTGCACTTTTTTTCTTTAGATCTATTTACAGCGCTTCTACAATTATCTTCTAGGACAGCGATAATTATCTGCTTTCAAGTCACTCCACAAGCTATCCCCACCCTATCTATCGTCTCTCATTCAGCGCTGGAAGGTCACATTCCAACTCTTGGCTTATGTCACATTTCCCTTCAACCGATTAGATTTTTTTCTTGCAAACATTTTTGTTTTCCTCTGACACTACTCCTCCAGTCTGGGAGGAAGCCTGTGTAAGTATTATCTTCATGGTTGTCTTTCGAAGCATTCCGCAGAACTCTTCTGCCATGAAGCTGAGAAAGAAAATAGTCTAAGCTACCGAAATGCTGAGCGTATAGGAAAAGCACGCTGACAGCCTCGTTGTATATGGCTCTCACCATGCTTGCATGTACTTCTTTTTGCAAAGTAAAACTTCTATAGCAAGGAGAGTAATTTCCAACCCGTATTTCTGCAGTGGCCATTCTACCAGGATTCTAGCCCATCGCTAGGCCTCTTTACTAACAGGAATTACTACTGACAAGGAGTTAATAACACGGGAAAGAAAAGCCAGTGGGAATGATCAGGTGAGAATTTACATTCTGATGCACGGCGGCGCTAAAAACACCCAGTGATGTGAAACAGACACGGGCAACGTTAAGCATCGTTCTCACTGGGTGGAGTTCCAGGGGGGAAGGAGAGATGCATGTCCAAGTTAAAACGCCTCCGCTCTCCCAGATACGCCCGCCACGTCAGGCGGCGGGGCGCGAGGGGAAGCACAGCGCCGAGTACCCACCACGGCGCTTTTCCACCCTTCGGTAACAGCGACGCTGTTCATGCAGCGCCACGGGCTGCTACCAGCTCCCGTTTCCACCGACTTGGTGCAGCCCCGCCTGGCTCCAGCGGGGTCCCGCTTCTGGCCGAGCTTCCCATCACCCCTCCGGCGCCGCCCCAGACTCCTCACCGCCCGCAGAGCGGATCAGACCTATTGCACGTCCCGGCGGAGGGCGGGCTGCCGGGCTCACCCCGCTG